CAGACTAGGGAAGACATTTTTGAGCCACCTTTGGCAAAGTAGAAAGGAACGATTGGCCATCGGTGATCGGTCCTGTGGGAACAATGCTCCGTCCTCTCGAGGACGCGTGGTCAATGGTGTAACCGCTAAGACATGCAATACATAAGAGTACGCCCCCCCCCCGGTCACTGAACCGTTGCACCAACGCCCCACGAACGATGACGTGCTTTTGCTGCTTCGGGCGGCCCGTTTTGTGTTTTTCTTTCGTCTTGTGTGTTATTTTGTTTGTTTGTGTGTCGCTTCGGTAGGTAGTGGCTCGGGTTTGTGTGTGAATCTCTGTCATTTCTCTTTCCCTTTTCTCCCTCTACTCTTGTATTTTTTCTTCTTTTCTTTCCTTTTTGCAGTCTATGGTGTACCTCGCATAGCGTGCAAGGGCGAGCGGAGTGTCCTAGACTATCTGTCCTTGATTTCTGTTGACTTTCGGGCCCTTCGGGTCCATTATATTTTCGTATACCTTTTGTTGAGTAAGTTAGCCTGTGATCACGGGAATCGACACCGTCAAGTGTTGACTACATAGTACGGAGAGAGGATGCTGGGTAGAGAACGGAACGGTTTTTAATGTGATGGCAGCAGCAACAACAGCAGTGAGCGGTTGTCTTCAGAATACTATCTAGGCCAATATTTTCATGTACATAGTGTGTTTGCAGTACGTCACCAGTCAGGTGTCCTTTGACACTGCTCTTTCCCCCGTCTCGTCTTAATCTGATCTCGCGGGCACCCGGCCAGAGATGAAATTAGTTTTTCTATTCCCATGGCTTCCTGGACTGCGCAGAGAGCGTTCTCAAGCATCAAGTCAGGCCCGATGGATGCACTTCGCGCCCCATGTCCAGAGTAGCACATACTGTAGACCTCGAGATCAGGCCGCTAACCTCCAGCTAAAGACGGCGTGACAACCAGTCTAGAAAACATTTTTTTTCTCCGGACTCTATGGCCGAACTATTATCTTTCTTGGATTGAGACCCAGATCCAACTATTAGAAGTGCTGACTCCAGGTGGAGAGTTGGCGCTTCATTCTTTTCAACACCTGTCAACAGACCATACTCTATGAATCACTCGGTTGCGATTTTTTGTCCGCACCCGGGAAAACCGAGAACATGTGTTTTTTACTGGATTATAGAGTGGATTAGCCAATTGCTCGTTTTCTGTCCCTCGAGCTACAAAAACTGAACAGAGTGACCTCGTCCTTTGGGTTTGTGTACACACCGCACGAAACCGCGTCGAGATCCAAGGTGTTGCGGTCGAGAGATTTGCAAAAGCCGTATCGGCACTCTTGGACACCTTTTGACCTGAAAACAGAATGCCCACACAACAAAAATTTCGTTGCGTACAAGATGTTTTGCCTTGAGTGATTGCCACACCACCCACTACCAAAACGCCCACATTTCGCTAGGTGTAAGGTAGCAATCTGCAAACGAAAGCACACCAATTCGCGTCGATTAGACTCTACAGTAGTCTTCCTCTCGGCCATGATTGCGACCCAGTTGTGGAGACTGAAATCACTCGTGCCTGAATTACCGTACATGTACAGCAACTAATGCTGTAGGAGCGTTCTTGCAGACAGTGCAACCCTCTTCACCGGCTGACAACGCCAAAATCCCAGGTGTTCCATTCGTTCCTGCGGCTTCCTCCCGAAAACCGAACACCAGACATCCAGAGGGAAATTGCCCGCCGCGAGCCATCTGCTCGTGGGTGCTGCTGTGTGCGTTTCGCGCTCCTGCACGCATCTAGGGTGTGTCTGTTCTTCTGCTACAGCTTCTTTTGCTACCACTGCTTGCTGCTGGGAGTGCCTAGCGAAGCCATGTCTATCATGTTACTCGGTGAGGGCTGAGGGCTGCTGATTGTTCTGTTCTTTTCACCACACAGCAAATATCCGATGTTGTGGTGCGGCAGAACTCTCCCTCTTGTCTTGTTCGATATTGCTATTCGATATACTCGTAGCATAGCATGCGGGTGGTATATTGCGTATACATATGCTGGTATTGCAGTGACGAACTACGGAGGAACAAGAAGTTTCTTTATGTTTTCCTTGGGAGTGTGGTGATTGGTGGACATTCATGGAGATTCGTTTTGGGTGTTAGAGCGTTATGCGTGACTTGATGCCGTGATGGAATGACGAGCTCAAGCACTATTCGATAAAGTTACACCATTAGACGAGTCAGCATAACGTTACACCATTAGACTAGTCAGCGCTGACTCGTCTAATGGTGTAACTTTATCGAATAAACAAGATACAACTTGAAAAGTTCATGGAGTCTCTGGAGCACCTCCCCCAGGAGGCGGTACCACCCACGCGGGACAACCCCTACGGAGGTCAAGAGGCCAGGAACATGGCATACGCACGAACGAGAAGCTCGCAAGGGCAAGGGGGGCACGCGTTCCTGAGAGCGGCTCCCACCGACCGAGCTCGAGAGATTCCATCGAACGAATTCGTCTACGCGACGAGACGCGCCTTGGGAGTTGAAGAATTCTTGGCGGAAAGATGTCCCAGGTGCCACAGAGGCAGGGAAGGCGAGATCATCACAACGGTGCACGCAAGGACCTGTCGAAGGGATGGAGCACAGGTCAACATGCACGAGCCGTTAAAATACGCACTATCGAGAGCACTCAACGGCCTTCGCGTCAAACACGACGTTGAAAGCGGGGCACCGTTCACGGGGGAAAGAAACCTGAGCATGGACATCGTCATCAGGCCAGGAGCCCTCACGAACGCATCTTCTCCGGGGTACCGCAACAAAGGAATACTCCTCGATGTCACACACGCAGACCCGCAAGCACAGGTACACTTGCGGAACGGCAGCGCGACCAGCGATGGAATCGCAGCCCAAGCATCCGAGGCGCGAAAGCGTCAGCACTACGCTCGTCCGGGACACGTGTCCTTTGACGAACGCAGCTTTAAACTTACCACCTTAGCCGTGGAAAGCTTTGGCCGCCTTGGAGAGGAGGGTTACGAGTTCATCGATGAACTTGCGACACATGCCGTGGGAGGAAGGGACGGAGGAACGATGGCTCTGAAAGGAGTCTTCAAGGAACGACTTCTTCAGATCGTTTCGGTGGCTACACAGGTGGCCATATCTCGGCGAGTGCAGAGGTACAAGCTCGCATTGCGCGGGCGTCAAGACGCCGAAAACAGGCGAACAAGATCGACCTCGGACCAGTCAACGCCAATGATATGGGGATGGAGTGTAGACGCATCGTAGAACGCGTTTTCGTTTGAAGTTGACGTCTTGTTTGAGAGTAGATGTGACAGATTTGCGTAGAATAGGGTAAGATGTTATCATGATCGGAGATGAAAGGGCTTTTCCAACACGGAGATGTAGCATGGATCAAAGCATTTGTTGGATTTCAGCTTTTACAAGCGGACATCAACGCAGTAGTATTTTAGCAAGCTTACGAACGCATAGTCTATAGGATACCATCAGGATTGTCATTGGTAAGTTGAAGAGGAGATACTTTTACGATGTAAATGACAGTAGAAATAAGTCCTACATATGTTGTTGTACTTCGTATTGGTTTAATATTCATGTGGAGTATGAGATATTAAGTAAAAGTTTTCTGAGGTACATCTGCAATTGTCGGAAGGCAAAAATAAATAAATAAATAAAAGATATGCTCAGAGCGCATTTGCACCCGGCTGGATCACTTGGGTCTGTATGGCTTGGATCTCCGGGGACGGACCCCTCGCCTAATGCTGATAGTTCTAGGGGCACTTACTTTCTTTCCAAAGGAAAGTGATCCAGCCGGTGTTTGAACTCTTGCGGATATCCTTTGTTCGCGAAAGGCTGACCATTTGACTACGTGCACAGTCATCGATGACTAGTTTAATGGTGTAACTTTATCGAATAAAATATATGCGCAGAGCTCATTTGCACCCGGATGGATCACATTTAATTTTTTTAATATGTTTGGGTTCGTGAGTAGAGATCTCCGGGGACAAACCCCTCGCCAGACGCTGCCTGAAAAGACCTTAATGATGCTTGGGAAAGTGACCAGTCGGGTTTCGAACCCGTGCGTGAATCTTTTTTCGCCAAATGTTAAACCATTTGTCTAGTCAGCGCTGACTTGACAAATGTCTTAAAAATTGGCGACAAAAGGATTCACGCACGGGTTCGAATCCCAGTGGATCGCTTTCAAGGCACCATTATCGGCCAATAGCAGCATCTTGTGGCGAGGGGTCCGTCCCCGGAGAACACTACACCCTATCAGATCCACTGGGATTGGCTACGAGCCGAGAGTGTATCTTTTATTCGCTAGAGGCTGACCATTTGACTACGTGCAAAGTCAGCGCTGACTAGTCTAGTCTAATGGTGTAACTTTATCGAATAATTGCTACCACGATTTCGCGGCATCTTCTGCACTTCTCTCTTGCCGCGTCCATGATGCTTCTGGTGTATGTATACACACGCATCACCTGTACTGCTGCATACAACAGCCAACAGCGGACAAACTCGTACAGCAGTGGCGGTGGCAAGGTTACAAGGAAGATGCCCCGCCAATTCCTGCAGGTAGTAGGGTGCAGCAAATACCTACCATCAGGTTCCACACCGGCAGCCGCAACGTCAAAGCCAGAGAGTAGCAAGCACCAACAACTTCGAATACAGGTGCATATGCATTAGGAAAAATAAGTAAGCACACAGAATGACTACTCGTTCGAGATATGTATACCCACATTCGAACGGGATGTGGTGGAGTCTTGTCAGTGGGTGGAGGAAAACCGGCTGGAACAACATATTCGCCTGATTGAGAGCGAAGTATCTGATTGAGAGCGAGAGCCAAAAAAATTGAAATTTCGGGTCCAGACGCCTCTTGCCATTTCTTGGCAAGTAGGGGACGGGCTATTCCAAGAAGCGGTGCAAATTGAAGGTCTCATCAGCAGCTTCGCGAGCATATGCGTGTCATCGTCATCGGATGCTGCAGCGAGGAGCTAGACAAGTTGCTAGATTTGCCCAGATTGGCTATTTCTGNCTGGACTTATTTCGAGTCATACTGATGATTCATCCATACGAAGGTGGTCGTGCACTGGTGGCCAGTGGGCACCGTTACGAGGGAGTTAAAGTGACCTGTAACCCCTAGGCGTTATGCAACCTGCGCAACCCCGTCGGGCGCACCGTTTTGCCAACCTGCAAGATCAGGCAGGGTTCGGAAACGCCGGCCCAAACCTGTGCTTGGTTGCAGACGAGGTTGTCCAAGCCCAAGAATGTCCATGCCTTGCCGCGAAACTTAATTTTTTTTCTCCCATCATTGGACTCTGTCGTCTGCCCCTCTGGCCCCTATCCTCCACTTCTTCTACTACAGTGGGGGCTACGGTTTAATAGAGCTCAGTTTAAGAGAATTGCCGATTTAAGAGAGGTCAAAATTGCTAGACACACCCCTCTCTTAAACCGAACCCCGAATCTCTTAAACCTCTCCTAAATCACTCTTAAACCGAACCTGCCCCCCCACCCCCCACCCCCTATAGCCCACCAGGCGGACGAGGTCTGGGGTCTCTCCTCGTCCGCCACCGTACGCTGACGTATCTAGGCAGTTCGGAGACCTCGAAGAAATAGCAGAGAGGTGCAGCATGGCCGGGGTAGCTTACCATCTTCGCAAGGCGAAGTTAGCCTGGATGAGCGAGGCTGTTTCAAAGAAGACGAAGCAAACATGCATGGCAGACTTCATGTAAAGTTGCAGAAGCTGCCCACAGGCGATGTTCATGGACGTCTGATTTTTTTTTTTTAGGGTAGGGTGTACTACTTGTACTGCTGTAGGTGCTTGAGTCACTGGTCTTGAGTGTTTCGTGTGTGTGATGCTCACGTCTCTGTGTTCTGTTGGCAGCTATCCTATGATATGCACTGCTGTTTGTCGAGATGAGGTCGGAGTACACCTTGGAGACCACGTAATAGTTAAACCGGTGGTGCTTCGTACACAACAAGAAGGAGGGATCACGCTTGGTGAGGGTCCTATAACGCACGAAAATATTGTGGAAAACAAAAAATTAATACCTTTCATCACGTCCATCATGTTAGACCCTGTTGAAAGACATATAATCGGTTTAAGAGAGGTTTTCTCTTAAACCGAACGTTAGAGGGGGGGGGGGAGAGAAGGTCGTGTTCAAGAGAGGTCTTCTGGGTGATGCACACCCCTCTCTTAAACCGTAGCCCCCACTGTAGCTAGAGGACCCAACCGGGGTCACATAGAAGGGGGGGGCTGGACCCCCTCCTGCGGTCCCTGCCTGAGATATTTTTATCGCGAGAAGGGTACAGCCTTCCCTTCCCTCGCGACTTACGAACGAAGTCGATTATGGTTTGCTAACAACGAGCTTTGCAGCGCGTCGTTTTCATCCTAGACCAGGATTTATTTAGTGAGAAAAAACTCACTCTGCCGGGACTCGAACCCATGACCTGGCCCTTAGCAGGCTGCGAGGTTTACTCACTAGACCACCGGGGCGACCGGTCTATGTACCAGCCGGTGTCCACAGAGTACACACACCAATATGTTTGACATTCACGGCAATAAAAAAACACCTATACAACCAAAACAAACGTGCCGGCATTTGTAAGGCCGTTTAGTTGACTAGACTCTACACCGTGCACGCCCCCCTCCCCTCCGCACCATTCCTATTTCAAAGGAAGCCCCTCCTCGCCGTTGATCTGCAACTGCCCACCGGTTACCCCGCGAGTAGCCCCTCAGCCCGTCGTGAGTTCTTTTCTTCTTGCAGCTGCCGCGTTTTGGGGCTTTGTTCTTATCGGTAAGCACATTGGTACACCACAAAGGCGGGTTCTTGTTCTTAACACCACGTCGGGACTGAGCACGTGTTTTTATGGTCAATTTCTTTGATTTTGATCTTCTTCGAGGCCGCATTTCTTGACTGCTAAATTCTGAAGTGCGAGCGCAATCTGTATCTTCTCATCATGATGAAGTACCAAAAGCAAACACGAACGGCAACGATCGGGGGGAAAAACAAAGACTGCGACAAGAGAGAGGTGATGATTACTATACGATGTCTCTGTAAAAGTCAATACGACGACACGCTCGTACGTCTGTCTCCTTAAAAATACTTCATGTAGCGGTCGAATATATAATATACATTGTATATCTGAAAAGAATTGTGCGATTAGCATAATATGTTGTATTTGTGGAACATAAAACGTCACTGACCAAAAACTTGCCATGAACCGATGGCAATGGAAGACGACATTATTCGGAGATTCTGCTTTTGGGTGGGGGGGACGGCAAAGTGTGCGCTTATCCGCCGCGTGGGCGGTGTCGCCACATTTTTTTCAGCCTCGCACTTACATTCATGAAATCTACAAACATATCGCACAGCCCACCTCACAGCAAATGGCGTGGCGGTTGAGTGTACACTTTTGTATTCGTATGTTGATGGTTCAAATGCGTTCCCACGTACACTTTCTTGAACTGCGCAACTTCTTGCTTGCTGGAAACTCCGGACGGGCGAACTCTTGCGCACCGCATCCTCAGTGCAGAAGGTGAAAACCCTCACACACACGTGTATTTTTTTCCTCGACCGTTTTTATCTCCCCCCCCCCCGGGGGTCCGCCCCGGTGATTGCCATCGGGGTTGGGTTTTCGTCGCTTGGCAACGACGTTGTAAAACAAGCCGCCCCCCCCCGGTGTTTGCCATCGGGATTGGGTTTTCGTCGCTTGGCAAAGACGTTGTAAAACAAGCCAATTCACTTCGTAAGCTCGGCAACCAGGTTACCGTGTTTTTTTTACCTCTTTTTTTTTGGCGGTAACCATAATGGTGGTCGAGTAGATCATGTTGTGCGGGGTGGAGAACCCGCTCCGCGCAAGGGGGATGATCGCACCACGTTGTGTTAAAATGGTCAAGCACCCTC